TGAACTCAAATAAATCCTTTGTCTTTTATGATGTTTCAATTTTTTTTCTACAGAAACAAGCAAAGTAATTAGTATATCCTGCTTTACTTAAAATTCATTGGAGTTAAGGATTTGACTACAAGAGTGTTAATTAGCAACATAACCATAGGTGATTCTAGAATCTTTATGCATAGTGTACCTTTGTAATCAGGCTCTGTGCTCTGTAGGCCTTCAAAGAATAGTAACAGGATATGAAGTCAGGTGGAGAGCTAGTTAGGTGAGGGGGCAAAGAGAGGGGAGGGTGTCTGAATGAATAAAACGCATTATATGGATTTTAAAAAATATCAATAAAATATTTTTAAATGTCAAAGAAAAGTCTTAAACGCTAGAATGCATTCAGTATCAACTGTATTATCTGTCAGAAATGCAAAATCTTAGATTCACACGGATTCAGAGGGAGGGATATGAGTGGTGAAGGCTCAAAACCTGCCTTTGGTGAGCTTTTCCCAGTGTGAGAGGCATCCTTACAGTGGCCCTGAGGGCTGGTCACTCTTCCAGACTGGTTGTCTCAATATCTCTAAGCCACACTCTTTCCCTTCAGGTCAACAAACATTTCAAGTGTTGGAGATTTATCTTAGTCATTGCTTCTTCCTGAAAAGCTTTGCCCTGCAGGTACCTGCAAGGCTAAATTGTTCCTTTAAGCCTCATTAGCAAGTTCTTTTCTGAGTGAATCTTGATCTCCCTACTTAAGATGGCACCAAGACCATCCCATTGTACTCATGTGCTTTACTCCTTGTTTTCCTTTGCTTTCTTCCTCAGTCTCTTTACTTTTCAGAGCCTTACACAATTTATTATTGTGTTAATCCTGCTCCTCTTCCACCTCTCTCCTCCATGAAACCACAGATTTTTCATTTGCTCACTGATGTGTCCGAAGTATCTTCAGCACATAGCAGGCACTCAATAAATGTGTTTCGAATGAAAGCAATTTTTTCAACATTCTGAAAAATGTAGAGTGCTCATAGCCATTAGTATTTTAGTTTCTTAATACCTCATCCAGATTGCTAAAATTTCCTTTCCTTTGAAACTGAGACTGCTAAGGGGGACTTGATGAAAGGGAAGTTCTGCCTGGTTGCTGGTGCTCCATAGGGATGTCCCTGCTGGATCCGCTGTGCTCATTCAGCCTCCCTTCAACTGGGGCTTCTCAGGGCAGCATGCAGTTCTCCACCAATGCTAGTTTTAGCTTGAATTAGGGTGAGTTTTACTATACTGTCCTTACTCTTAAGCAACCTAACATTAACTAGTTGTGAGCAGCACACTTGAGATAAAAAATATGGCTTCTGAGGGACAGTCCCTTGGAAGAAAAGGCTGTATAACCCTTTCTGGAGAAGTCTGAGCACCAGGAATCTGGGATCTACTTACTAGGGGAAGAGGCAGTGGCCTTAAAGTACCTTCTTCCAGGGTTCCGAGGACATCTGGCCCTGCAATGGCTGACATTGATTTGCCCTCTGCTCACAGTGGCTTCCTAGGCACACATAGACAGGGAGCAATGATGCATTTACTCCAAGACAGTGACTCTTCCCGGCAGACATTCCATAGTTATTAGTGAAATACCTACCATGAAAGCAGAACCACAATTTCGACCCTTTGGCCTGGAATTCCAGAGGCTAATTTCCACCCCTCCCACGAGTCACCTGTTCGCGCATATTCACACATATTTTTACTTCCTCTTCAACTCAGTCCAGGCTATCTTTGGAGCTTCAAACAAAGCAATCATTAAAAAAAAAATGTCACAGATAATCAAGTCTGCTTTCAGGAGTCCTTTGTGTGGTGGGATCAGGTCTTCATAATGGCTTATGTATTTCCTTTGCTTAAAAAAAAAAAACTTAGTTCAACTACCCAGTTATCTGGGTATCTTGATAGTCCCATTATATTAATTTACCCTTTTTCTTTTCTTTTTTTTTTTGTCTTTTTGAGACAGGGTCTCCCTGTAGCCCCAGCTGTCCTGGAACTCACTATGGGGATCAGGCTGGCCTCAAACTCAGAGATCTGCCTACCTCTGTCTCCCAAGTGCTGGGACTAAAGGCGTGTGCCACCACACCCGTCTCCAATCTAGCCTTTTTAAGAGAGTTAAAGTTGCAACTAACATGCACTCCACTGAAGCAAATTGCTGCCTGCTACCTTCCTTGCTCTCTTTCTGGGAGCTTGGGCAGCTGCTGGGTTGTGTGTGCTGAAGGGAAATTGGATTCTTAAAGAAACTGCTTAATCTTCTCTATTAAGCAATTAAATAAAATGGGCTCTGGGCATACACAGCAGGTGGGCTTGAAAGTGAAAAAAACCCTGAAAATCGCATTTGAAGTTTTAAATGGATGTTTAAAACTAAGGACATACATTTAAAAGAAAATGATTGGGAGTTTTTTTTTTTTTTTCTATTAAGGCCTTCCAGTTTATGCAGCAAAGGTTGAATATTAAAGAACTTATACAATGAAAGAAGCTGCTTAAGTGGAGGTGGGCCCTGAATTTAAATGAAATCGGTCTAAAAAGGCATAGTGAAACTAACTCCAAATTGTCCAGATTTTTCTTCCTAAAAGAAAGAAAGAAAGAAAGAAAGAAAGAAAGAAAGAAAGAAAAAAAACCCGATTAAAATATATTACCGTTTTATTTTGGAGAGTCGATCTTTACAGCAACGTTACCACAACATGGGGACTCCTATAATACTCTGATTATAGGTCGAAATGAAAAACAAAACAAAAATGAAACCAAAGGCGCGCCTCTCAAGTCATTAAAGAGGCTGCCCTTCCTTTTTAATCTGTTCATTTTAATGAGACGGGAGGGGAATATTTTCTGTCTTGACATTTGGTACCTTTCTGCGAAATCTGAAACTGGAGACGCAAAGCATTCCATAGTTATTGGTGAAATACCTGCTTTAAAAGCAGAGCCACAGAGAACGTCTTTGCCCCGGAATTCCAGAGGCTAATTTCCACCCCTCCCACGGAGTCACCTGCTCTGGGGGAACCCCAGCCAGAAAGCCGGGTCGCGCCAGGTCAAATCTTGTGCTTGTCTTGTTTACTCCGCCCGGGGCAGGGCGGCGGCGCGGCCGGGGCGGGTGGGGGAAGGGAGCTGCGGCCCGCGGCGCCCAGGGACGCTGGGTTCCGATTGCCCGGGTGCGGCAGCCTGGGTGCCCCGGATGGGTGGCGCACGGTCCCCGCTCTGCGGTGAACCCACCCGGAGGAGGCGCTCCGGGCGCGGCGCGGCCCAGCAGCCAGTGGTTGCGCTCCGGCTGGGCGACCTCCTGGGAACCTCCCCCGAGGGTGCACGCGAGTCCACACACGCTGGGTAACGGCCCAAGGGAGCCCCGGTGTCCCCCGGGTGTCGCCGGGCCGGGGAGGAAGCCAGAGTCCTGGCCCCTACTCGCTTGGGATTCCCTCCCCGCCCCCTCTCCAGGGCTGGGTGTGATTTCAGTCCCTTCGGAGGAGACAGAAGCGCGCAGCTGGAGGTGGCAGCTCGCCCCAGATCCCCGCCGGCCCACCAGGAAGCGCCAGCTGCTCCCACGAGCAGCCGCCCCGACCTATTTGAATACCCCAGGCTGGGCGGGCCGCTTCCCGGGCGGGGTGCGCCTGGGGCGCCCCGGGGACTGACCCCAGGGAAAGCAAGCAATTGGGGCATTTCGAGCGCGTGAAAAGTTCGCGCTTCCGCCGGGGCATGGAAAATGCTAGTAAAAGACTTTCAGAGCTGCAGAAACGCGGCCAGGAGCTGCAGTGTGATTTTATTTTTCGATTGCTAACAAAATCGTGAACTGAGGCGGGGACGAAGGACAGACGGGAGATCAGAGGTACCCGGGCAAAACCTAAGAACCATACTGATCATCTAATTCCGATGTCAGAGAACCAGAGTGTGGGAAGGGGGGGGAATTGGGAGGCCAGTGGGGTACGAAGGTTTCCACATCCTTGAAGGAAATTCTCAGGCTGCCCGCGACGCCCCTGTTTTTGCATGGCAGGAGGAGAGACCCGCTCTCAGGGGAGACCCCAGTTCCGAGCCAGGGGGACGCTGTGCTGGCGGCGGCTGGGCCAGTCCGGGTTGCCTCCCTCCGGGTCGCCACATGCGCCGCGCATCCCCGTCGGCTCGCCGGCTCCAGACTGGTTTTTCTGGTTCAGCCTCCCTCCCTGGGACGCGCTGGGGGATCCGATGACGTCGCTGGCTGAGTCTCTCCCTCTTCCTCCCTCCCCCCG